GTCTCTCTGCATCAACACTCGACTGAACAATCCCACAGTATTGATCAGCAGCACATCGATCCATCTGACCTTATTTTCAAACCCAGCCCAGTAATTACAGGGTAAGGTGGGTCAGGTGATTCACAGTAACTAGGTGACTGCAGCTGAATAAATAATAAAAAACATTTTTAATCCAAAATACATTGTCTCAAATACTCAAATACTTTTCTGTTCCTTTTTGGAAGCCTGAGCCGTTGGGGTTTGTACAAAAAATATTGTAGGAAAAAAAAAAGCTCTGATAATCTTAAGGCAAATTGATTCTAATTATAGATCACATATTCTGTTTATCCTTTGCTATTTTTTTTACCTCTTCCTCTCTTTACTGTATTCCTTGGTGTTTGGGATACAATTTTTGATTTTCCTTTTCCTTAATTGAAGTGTTTTCAGACGTAAAAAAAAAAAAAAAAACCCAGCCTCTTTCAAAGATTCTCAGCAGCAGTAAAATCCCTGTGAGAGACAATGTTTGTCACATTTCTAAATTTGCTGTAGTATTTTAGGAAAGAGACGGAAAACTATTCAAAAACATTGACAAAAATTACACCTGGCTCCAGATAATGAGCCCTCGTTACCTGGCGGACATTAAACACAGTTTACTTCAACAAAAGTCTCATCTTCACAGACATTTCTAAGTTCTTTTTTTTATCTGGTGCGCTTTATTTAAATGTGCTGAGCGACTGTATTTGTTTTGCATTATTTATTATGATTATTTAAATCTGATCAGATTATTAACTCTGTGAATATTTGCATCAGTAAAGCAGGGGGGGAAAAAAGCCCAAAGTGAGACTAAGCTGGCAGTTGACGGCTGCAGTTTGGGAGCTGTCAGTGTTAATCATGGATCTGTAGACTGCTGTTATTGGACTCGTGTCCATGAGCTTTTACTGCTAATGATGCCTGCTGGGCCTGTTCTCCTGTGAGGAGGAGTGGAGGAGGAGGAGGGGGAGGAGGAGGAGGAGGAAGAACAGTGCAGCTACAGTTTATTTAGAGCAGCAGACTCTGTGTTAAATATGAACATGCTGGAAAATAGAGTAAAGTCTGACTTTAGGGCAGTGTTTCCTGAAACTGTACACAGGGACGACAGAGTATGTGAACTCCACTCCTGTGTATTTTAGGACTCTTCTCATGAAAATGTGAAAGAAATCATGCTGTAATGGTATTAACAGCTGCAGATGTTTGATTCTCTGTGTGGTCACATGTCCAAGTTGAATAAGTCAACAAAATGTCAAAACATACGTTTTGAGATATTCCCTCGAACAATGCAAACTTTGCACATGAAGGTTAGGAAAATCATAGCAACAAAATATCTAAAACGTTAGTAAAAAAAAAAGAAAAAACAGAAAAACATTTATGCTAAAGGTGATAAAGTTAGCCAAAAATTGGCAAAAAAATATTTCATCAAAAAAACAAATTTTGGCCAGAATTTGAAACTAGTTAATCACACACAAAAAAAATCATAAAAACAACTAAAGGCTGAGCACAGATATCCCACAGATTCAGTCAGAAACATGCAGAAGGTGATGAAGACTTGGGTAGAAGCAAAAACACACAAACAGAAAAAAAAAACAATGTATTTAGCAAATACCAAAGGAAATCTCCTGCCACCTATCTGTGTCTCCTGATACAGAGGGAGGAAAGAGCGCTTCAGAGGAGGAAGAGGAGGAGGTGGAGGAGAAGATGTTGTAAAAAGCACGACTCCTCACTAAACAAACAAACAGTGTTTATTGTAGAAAAAAACAAAACAAATAAAGTAGCAAAAGGAAAACGCTGCTGCTGCTGCTGCTGCTGCTGCTGCTGCTGCTGCAGCCCCCGGACCCTCCTCATGCAAATGCTGCACCTTGAACGCCATCAGGTATCGCAGGGTTGACAGAAAAATAATGAGAAGCCGCTGAATCTTTTATAAGGTTAACACTCACATTTCCCAGTCAGCTGTCACACAAGAAAAGAATTTAGCTCATGCATGAGGGAAGAAATGAACCTTCATCGTCTCATTAATGCTGACAGGGACGGAGACGAGGACAGGGACGGGGACCAGGATGGAGATGGAGACGAGGGGAGGGGGGGGGGGGTTCTTTTACTGCCCGGCCGCCGGGGGCCGGGGCGCGGAGCCGCCCCCCCTGTCGAGTGAAGGCTCAGAATCACCCTACACCACCAACAGCAGCAGCAGCAGCAACAGCAGCAGCAACAGCAGCAGCAACAGCAGCAGCGGTGGCGGCTTCTCGGCCCCGGCCCCAGCAGGCAGGCAGGTAAAGAAGACCCCCCACCCCCCCCCCCTCCATTCCTGCCTCTCTGTTCCCTCCATCTTTATCTTCAACACTCACTCCTGTATCCTCCACAGCAGCAGCAGCAGAGAGGCCTCCTCTCTGCTGCTGCTGCTGCTGTGGAGGATACAGGAGTGAGTGTTGAAGATAAAGATGGAGGGAACAGAGAGGCAGGGATGGATGGGGGGGGGGGGGGAGGGGGTGTGGGGGTGGGGGGGGGGGGGGGGAAGGATGGAGGAGGGGGAGTGTG